CAAACAGCTTCGCTGTCTGGCTGCCTCTGGCTGCACAGCTGATCCAGCTGAGTTACGATCTGTAAGGTCAAAATATTTAGTGATGTCTGAAGAGATCATCGGATTCAACTGGCCGGGAATTTCAGCTCTGGGTTTTGTTCAATCCGTCCAGATCTGCTGGACAATAACCACGGCAGAGAAACCAATCTGCTGAGGGCCACATCTCCCAGCCCAGCACTTCTCTGCCTGCTTGGAGCATATTTCATGTCATAACTCACCACATTCTCTGGATCATTCTTTCCTCTCCCTCCCCACAAGGCAGTCCCAGGTGGCAGCAGTGTTAGGAGAGAGGATGGAGAAGCGAGGACTCTCCTGCCTTCCTCTGTGTCCCCCTGAGGATGGGAAACACCAGCTCAGGGATTGAACTACCCCGTTGTGAAAGGACAGCATTTAACATTTTAATTGCAGTAGGCTAAGGTGCCAGGAGGTGCACAAACCAAGCACAGAGGTGATATTCCTCCCTGGTCCCCCCGTGCTGTTAGTCCGAGAAAGCCAAAGAACTGACAAACTCATTGCAGCAAAGCAGGCAGCTGCTGTGACAAGGACTCTGCTGGGAAGGTTGCGCTGGGGACTGATCTATCCCTGCAAGAGACCCCCTTGATCTCCAGCCCCGCTTGATTTCTCTGGTCTATCCCTTGGACCCAGGCTGTGCCTCAGCCTGTCTCTCCGGCGGGTGGGACTGCCCACTGGGGAGAGAGGGAGAGGAAGAGACCGATTTGGAAAGATAGCGAGGAGGAGGAGGAGGAGGAGAGGCAGCAGGAAACCCAGCCCACCCTTTGGTTTCCTCCTGCCTCCTTCTAAAACCTGCAGATTCCTCCAGCCCGTCCAAGCGCCTGAAGTTTCCTCAGCCGTGCTGCCGGGACTGCGAGGTATGGCCCGAGACCTTCGCGTTTGCCTTTGCCATGTTGTTTGTCCCGTCGTGGGGGTCCCCATAGCCCCATTCACGGGGGTCCCTGGCCCAGGAGCCACTATGCTGGCCCATTGGGTGCATTTGGTGCC